ACCCTTTATATTAATAGAAGGAGAAAATCTCTTAAGATGTAGCACACATTTCCAACCTTCTTGCAATTTAGGGTTTACTAGAAGAGAATCAAATCTCAGAATGGCTTATTTCCCACTGTTTGGATAGCCGACTGGGTACCGATCCCAACATGCTTATTCGAACTAGCGGAGAGAAGCGTTTAAGCGATTTCCTTCTATGGCAGGTATGATACTAAGTTAACTAGTCTCAGCTTTTCATCTTTTGTTTGAGTTCAAATCCTAGTGTTTTATTTCTCCAAATTTTCCTAAAGTTACTGATTTTTATTGCAGTGTTCTTCCAGTCATATTTATTTTGATGATGTCTTGTGGCCAGACTTCAACTACTGGCATTTATGCAAGGCCATTATTTCTTATCAGTACCACTGTAATTCTATACAGGTACATCCAATATATCCAACAGTTCTGCATGCTTCGATGCTCATATTCAAACTTTTTCAGTTGAAATGTATTTAAGATGAAGATTCGTACTTTAACTGTTTTTAAGGAGATTAAAAGAAGTCAAGAAGTTGAGGAACCATCTCCTGAAGAGCAAGTAGCTTTACAGCCATTCCTGACATACGTAGACAACCTACAGTTTTCAATGTTGCAAGAATACGCATCTTTAGAGCTGTAGGTTAATTATCCTTCTCCTGCCAGTAAATTCCATCTCTAACCCTTTAACCTCTTGCGGAACAACATGCAAACCGCAGATTTTCCTAATCTTTTTGGAATAACTTAGCTCTGAAATGTGATTGATTTTGCCTTAATCTGTGATTAGTTGCCAGATAACATTCCTAGGATAGCAGTATCAGCAACAGTTATGAGAAGTCGCCGAATTGTCTAACTAGTCCATTCCTTGTTCTCAAAAAAGGATATTTCTGTTTTTTTGCAAGCCTCTATATTATGGATATATTTATTGTGATGTGACTCAATGAGACTGCCTTTCAATGAATGTTACATATTGTTACCTGTGAGGCTAAATATTCTTCTCAATCAAGCAAGAAAGGAGAAGTAAATGAACGTATTTTTTGTATTTCAAACTAAAGTCTGTCGCTACAACAGTGTTGAAACATTTACCAGTCATTTTTCTACAGGTCAAAGTACATAGTTGGAGCTTCAGACTTTTATTGCAACGTTTTATTAAAATACAAAGAAAACGGGAACTGTCATCACTGGTTTCTTACATTTATTACATTGATTTAACGTACTTATTTACTTGCTGAAGTAGCCTGCCCAGGTCTTTGCCGTAGTGATCGAGAAACTTTTGCTCTGGACGTCGACGGATCGTGCGAATTCATTGTTGCCATTACAGACTCATCTAGGGCTTTTCTAGCAGCTATCAAATCCGCCTCCGCTTGCTGAGCTCGTTTGCGGTCAGCAGTTACTTGAGCATCACGTCTTAAGAGAGGAACATGAGTTGAAAGGGGAAAAATCAATGAGGACAGTTACGCTTACCTGTCTGCATCTTCCAGTGTCTGATGACGAACATCTGCAGCGCTACGAGCAAACTCGGTTAGTATATTTATGATAGATGGAAGATTGCTCGCGGGAGTGTCGCGAGATGCCCAGTCATCAACCTAGAAAAAAACGAAACAGTGAATTTGGTACGATCCATACACAGATATTAAGGACGTGCTGTTAGCTCAAAATAGCTTCCTATTCCTGAACTACCATTAAAAGTCATTACTTTGTCGCAGACATCCCCGCAATTAACCTGACCTGGGTATAAGAGCGCATGCTCACTATGTATAGGGCCGATTCCAACTCGGCGTTGAATTATTTCTCCTTTGAACATCTACTCTTTAAGGTATTATTATGTAAATGCAAGTTTATAGAACATATACAAATCCTCATATCAATAGTATCGTTGATCCAATTCCATTCGGCCCCCACCTTCCCATCTTATCATTTTCTCAAGCAATATTCCATAACTGAGGCATTTTGAATTGCCCACACATCAAACTTATGAGAAAAAGTGCTGTTTAGGAGCTCCAATACCTATCCTAATTCACTGTTAAAAATGCGGCTGGCTTGGTCTATATGTGGCCTTTTATCGATCGATTTATACGCTTATCATACAATGAAAACGATCATTTTCATGCACTTATACATTGTCGCCTTGGCACAAGTGGTTCATAAGCAATTTTTTAGGCTTCATCCATAGCTGACGATGGGAGGTATGGCGGGCGCTGGCGATCGCCGACCTCTTGGCCTTCTCTGGCGTCAAAATGGGTGCATTTTGGGTACGAGTTTGATTCGAAAATCTACACACTAATTGAGTACATTTCGAAAGGAAGTTTGTAGAAACATAGGATCCGAACTCACACCTAAAATACCACGAAATTGTCCATA